TGTAGAAGTGAGACTCTAGATCACGGGTGTCAAACATAAGGCCCGGGGGCCGTATTCGGTCCTCCAAGACCTTTAATCTGGCCCTCGGCTGATTTTCTACTAAAATATTTTAATTATATTTTCTATTGAAATATTAGTAATTTTTTTGTGCCGCTGAGCATAGCAGCGTCTCCAGCGTCTCTGTACGTGGCCCCTCCCACCAGAGCAGCACAAATGAAGACTTGTCTCTTTCCAAACGCTCTTAAAGGACAATTGTTTTGACTGTTGACCGTGACACCCTCATCAGCAAAATGTCAAAAATTAGAAAAGTGGATGCCGAGTGCAGGATTTTCCAAGAAAAAATAACTTATTCCTATTTGCATACAAGTTCATGTTAAAACATTGTGTTGAAATTGCATTTTTTTTTAAAGTTTCAGGTTTTTCATGATATAATAATATTTTGTAAAGAGTTCATCAATTAAAAAATATTTCTGTAATAGATTTGTGTTTCTCTGCACAAATACTTGAACTTATTGCTATTTTTGGGCGATCCGACCCCTTTGGGATCAAAGTAGGTTGGATACAGCCCCCGGACCCAAATGAGTTTGACACCCCTGCTCTAGATCCTCCAGTTCTCCACTTAAATCAGTCACTTAACCAGAAGTGCCAGACATAATGGAAGTGTGTGTGTTAGTGTCAGTCAGACGTAAACGGGCAGTGCACAATAAAGTGGATATCTGGAAGGGACCAGTCAAACATACTTTCATGCTCATTGGCTGAAGTGAACAGTGGAGGCAACATAGAAATTAAACTTTTGCTGAATCCAGTAGGTTCTGTTCAAGAAGACGCTTGGAAACATGCAATGACAACTTCCAATGTAGTTCTCGACACTGGGCTCACTGACCGACTGTGATAAATCCCGTTGAAGTAAATGTGATCAGCTGTAAAATGAAGATTGCATACGTATGTGCTGTTTGGAATCATCTTGAATTTGGCACCTCATCTCTTATAATCGCATGTACCCAGTGTGCTCGGAGTCGTGCGTCAGTGAGGAAATGATGAAAACTGATTTATGGTTGGAATTGTTGATTAGTCGAACATAACAGAATGCTACAACGGCATGTAGATGAAGAAAACTGGGCCATTTTCTCATTTTCTCTAGATTTGGAAGGTGTCATCACATGTTTCCAAACGTCTTCTGTTTGTGACGTGAAGACAAAAGCAGAGACATCTTTCCCATTCACAAAAAAGACTTTCCTCTGAGCTTAACAGCACCGGTATTTGGAAGGATGATATATGGCTAAAGAGAGATACAGTGATAAATGATAATACTGAAAATACTTCAAATGTCACTCACACAATAACAATAAAGCAAGATAATTCCAGTACACCATTATTTAAATAGTCAGTGTCATTTAAAGGCTTTTTCAAATCTCAACAGCTCAAAGAGAATGTGATAAATATTGAGCCCCAGTAAAAACCACGGTGTATTATATAAGTGAAAACATTTGTTGGATTGTAAATATGTCGTATTGCTCATTAATTATCCCATATTTTAGCTGCTCAGACATTTGGGGCAATGCTTATCCAGGTTCCATAAAACTGGTCCATTTGTTTTCATTGTCTTTGCATATTTTGGTATGTCTTATTCCTTTAGTGTAGCGCGTCTTTGGTGTTTTATTTTGACATTTGTCCTGTCTGCTTGCAGCTTCGAGTTTTACTTCCTGTTGATTGTTTGCCTCGCCTTAAAGTGTTACATCTGTATCTACTCTGCCCTTTGTCAGTCCATTGTTAGTATCACGTCTGATGTAGTTTCTATTTTGGACTTTTGTATTTGGTTTCTTCTGGTCTTTGGTTTTGTTACATTAGACTGCTATTCTTATTTTATTTTTTTGTTAATCTGTGGGGAAGTGGATTATCTCCTGCAGGTGTTTTAGGACTATGCCTGCAATCAGTTCGCCACCTCCAGCAGAGCCACAAGGAGGAGACATGGGGCTTGCAGGTGGCAGCCCAGCACTGCTCATTTAGCCCTCCTTCCTCCACTTCTGCTCCCACCTGCTTTGCAATCACCACTGATGCCAGAAGTCAGTACAGACTGGCCCCCTCCCTCGAATCCTATTACTCTGGAGCCTTTATTGGAGCTTCCCAACCTTGACCTTCAGGACTCCTTGCCTGCTTCACTTCCCGAGCCACTGCTGGACACATTTCTCTGTCCAGGGTGGCTTCACTGGACAGAGTTTTCATACAGGAAGCTTACCACTAGATCCCTGCTCCTCAGTTAAGATTGGCTACAGTCTGAACTCCTTGTTTATGGTCGTTGCTGTCACCATTGGGCCCTGCTCAAAGTCAGGGGTCATTTCTTCTTCTCTAACTGCCTCCACACCCTAGACTCCACTGTGCATATTTAGCCACCACATTTCTTAGAACATTCCCTTAAAGTTAACGCTCCTGGGGCCTGCTCCTCTAACTTTTTTAACCACTGGGCTTCTCTGGGCTGCCTCCATGACCACCTGACCCCCTTGAACTGCCTTTGAGATCTGCCTCCACGACTCCGAACTTCTCTGACTGTTTACAGGACTCTTATAAACCACAAGAGGATACTGTAAACATGCATGTGACTCACTGGTGACTTGGTTGGGGTGGGGAAGGATTATTAAATAAATGTTTATTTGACTGATCTGTGAAAGGAGCAGGGTTTATAGGATTTATCTTCCTCCTGTTCCTTTTGTTCGTGCCAGTAATGACGAGGCATAATAATTGGTCGCACATGTATGTATGTTAATGGTCAGACTCTTTGTTGTACTGTAATATATATTGTTCCATCTATCATATATTGAACTGTAAATTTATATTGTAATATTCGTGACAGGCCTAGCCAAAGTCTGGCCGAATGAATTTGAGGTCAATCGCAGCAGTGGGAAAAGCACAAAATAGATTCTCATGAGGTTCTGAACTCACAAACACTCAGGGAATACATCATGTTGTGCAAGGTGAAAGAGATTGCACCGTACACTTGCAGATACAAAGACATATCATCTGTGGACAAAAGGTTTCTTCAGACTGTCTGCTGGGGCCCGCTCAGAGAGGGGCCTCTGTGGAGCAGTGACAGAAGGTGAGGGCTCCAGCTGAGACGATCAATAAATCATCAACACATGAACACAAGGATCAGTGTGAGGGTGAACAGTATTTTGTATTGGTATTATTTTCATTTGCAACTTCTTTGTTTGATGATAAAAGACAACATTATTTTACCATTGTTCATATGATGTTGCTAATGGAGCTCAACAGTGATGCTCACCCCCTGTTCGGGAAGTAAAATTCTCATTCATTTTTCCCACAGACTTTCAGAATTGCTCAGGGCCAATCAACTATTGCCCACAAGACCTACAGTTTTTGTATTTAAAATCTGTTTCTGATACTTTATAAATCTCAAAGGTATTAAAACTAGGGCTCGACTGATATGGATTTTTTTTGCATCTGATATGACACCGATAAAATGGGAATTGGAGCTGCCAATAGCTGATATAATTGCCGATATATTTAGTGATTTTAAAATGGGTTTGTTTAGGCGACATTTATTGTTATTCTGCCTCTTTAGTGTCATATTTAAAGACAGTAGGTCGGGCTAATGGCATTTTTGCATGACATTGTAGTCAGTAAAGAAGCTATAAGTCACTTAAGCGTGAGTGCAGCGGTAATAAATGATATGCATAAATGTGGATCATTCACACTTCTATTCACAGCTCATTTACATATCAGTGCAGGTCCAGTAATACGTGTACAGCCACTATAGCAAGGGTCCCCAACCTTTTTCCTCTGGTGAGCTACCTTTACAAAACAAAAATGCCAAAGAGCTACTTCTTTAACAGTTGCAAGAAATGTAGTATAAGAGCCACAGCCTTAGATTAGGGATGGTTAGACAGATAACATATAAACCATTATTTATTTACAGGTTGGAGAACCCTGCGCTAAAATCACTTTACACTAGGCCAATGTCAGAGAAAACAGGCTGTGTATGTGTGGCAGTTACAGCAGCTAAGCACTTACCAATGAGAAAGAACGAAAAGTAACTTCAAAACCAACACATTTGCAACAAAATATAGATAAATATTGATGCAGTGCCACATATTAGGACATTAATCTGTCAGTAAATTGTATTAAATGGACATAATATAGAGAGTCTAAGCTTTATAATGAGGTATAATGGCCCATGTGGACTATCGGTCCACATCAGCAAGATTTAGACCGATATGTCTCCATGTGGCCACAATATCCGCCAACCGATATATTGCATTTTTTGGATTTGAAACAACTGCATTTTGGATTTTAGTTAGGATGTAGGTCCTTAGCCTCTGTGAAGTACATGGGAAAATGAATGGAAAATGTACTTCTGGTCCCTCAGCAGGCAGTCACTGTTGAGCTCCATTGTTAACAAGTTAAAGATGCACTTAAGTACTTCTGGTGGAGGGTCTGCCGCCTTGGACAAATGCCACCACCTGCTTGCCTCCTCGTAGAGACAGATTTAATGCAATATAGTGTCACATTTATTATGCTAAAACTTAAAAGTGCATCAACAAGTGACAAGTGTGGCAATAGATAGATGTTGTAGAGTACTGATCAAAACATAAAAATCCAAATCGAATCGTAGTAGTTTTCCCCCCACAGTTTTCTATTTGACTGTTTTGTCTTATTAAAACAATAAAAGATATTTTCCTAAATTAATTCCCGGAACATTCAAAACAAAAATAGTCAAAATGTCTTCCTCTGAAGTCTGAACTCTGCTCCAAACCACAAGCTTTTACTGACAAAGAGGATTAACTACTAAAAAGACCCAGGCTAATCATGGACTAAACACTGATCCTGACAAAAATTCCAATTCTCTCTGTATCTGCTGCAGCGTGTTTTGGTCTTAAAATGTTCAGATTAACGCGCTCTACATAATCCTTGGGTTTTTATTTTGCTATTTTGTTCATAAATCAGTTTCGCTTTTACAGTCTATGGAACATTGTGTCAGTACAGACCTGAGCCACGCGGATGAAGTGGCTGATGACGAGAGCTCTCTGCTGGGCGGTGGGTTTACTCAGCACCATGAGCTGGATCCACTGGGACACGCTGTTGAAGAGGGTGATGAAGCGCTCCAGGATGGGGTTGTCCACCGTGCAGCCGTGCATCACGAAGCTGTGGTAGTCCTGGAACTGGAGGGGGGGTAACAAGTCGTCATTATACAAGTTTTCGGGGAAAAAAACAACATAATAATTGACTGATTTACAACAACTTAAAGCAGACCTTTTATGCAAAATCATCGTTTTTAGAGCCTTTAAAGATGTTACAGTCGTCCCTCGCTATATCGCAGTTCACCTTTTGTGGTCTTGCTGTTTCACAGATTTTTTTAGTGCAATTTTGGATGCTTTTTTTTTTTTTACAGTTTATGAATGCACATTGTGTTCGTTCCCCTGCGTCCTGATTATGGGCAGGTATGCGAGCGGGTAGTGAGTACACATGGGCGGGTCAGGACTACACCAGGACTACACCAGAACTAAACCGGATCTAAACCAGGACTAATCTTGGACTTAAGAGAGAGAACCTTGAGCAAGGTGTCTGCAAAGCGCAATCAGGTGACGGCCGCGATTAGCTCTGTGAGGTGGTACTTTCTCCTGCGGTCACCTCCGAGTCTGTCCCAACAGGTCATTCTGGCTTAGTCCTGGTTTAGTTCTAGTTAGTCCTGTTTTAGTCCTAGTTCAGTCCTGGTTTAGTCCTCCTCTTCTGTCCTGGAATCAGTCCTATCTTAGTCCTGGTTTAGTCTTGGTTCAGTCCGTAGCATATGCAGTGCAAAAGTTCTATATAATCTCGAGTTAACGGGCAGGTGCAGTGATGTATTGTGCGGGTGCAGGTCTCCGAAAATGGACCCGTGCAGGACTCTGCGCTGTAGGGCACCACTACAGAATAAATGAATAAAGGAAAATAACAAAAGGACGACAGCAGCAATAAGTTTTAAGAAGGATGCAAAATTAATTAAGTGTATAAAGTGTGTGGTGAGGGGTTTTACAGACTTAAAAAAGATAAAACAATTGTAAAATATAAAGGTGACTACTTCACTTATCATTGGTTATTTTTAGAACGTAACCCCCGCGATAAATGAGGGAATACTGTATAGTTGTTTTCCCTTTAACATTTCCAATCTCGAAGTTGTATTTGGAGTGATTTGTGGATGTTTGAGCAATCTTCAATCGCTTATTATTACTTATATGACAGATCAACTCCAGTTTTCACCCTCATACACCCACTGCTCTGTATTTAGATTGCTCTTTATCTTTGTTTGTACTTTAATCTTCTTCATCATTGATACATGTACGATTCAGCAGCTTCACATATCATTTTTGTATACAATGAAATAAAGAAAAATGCTGCTCGCTAGCATGATCTGCAGCTGTCTATCTGAGGTGCTGAACCTTCATTGTGATGGGCGACAGAAGCTCAGTTGGTAGAGCCTTCACTGATCCGAGGGTTAGCCCTTCGAATCCTGCTCTCGACAGAAATATCGACATAATATCGACATAATATTGAGCGGTCAGCTCCACTGGCTGATGTGATTCCAGCTCCCACAGATGAATGCTGTTGCTGTGTCCTTGGGCAAGACAAGACACTTAACCCACCTGGCCCCAGTGTCTGCGTACACTGTTGTATGAATGTGCGTGTGTGAATGAGTGAGTGGTTCCTTGTTGTAAAACACTTTGAGTGCCTTAACCCTCTCCAGGCAGGCGTTGCAGATTTGCAACAGCTAAATTCCAATTACCTACTTACTCCACATCCATATTATATGAGCTTTTTTTATTCAGGAGCCTTTTCTCCCATCCATGCTGATAAACGTGGGCGATGCAGACTGTGCAAGAATGGCTACATCCAAACGGCCTGCCAGAAGTGCAAAATACTTTTTTTTTTTTTTTTACAAAAGATAAAAAAGTCAGAATTGTATATTACTACCCCATATTATAATTTTCCCCAAATATCAGATTTTTCCTGATACTAAAAATTAATTTGAGCCTGAGCCTGAGAATATTCAATTTAAAATCAAAATTATAGGAATGCACCAAGTCAGATACTGGTTTAAAATGTCTGTGCTGATGCTGAAAAATTTGCTGAATCAGGTATCAGTTCCATAAGGGTTCAGAAGATATCCTGGTTGGGCTTTTAAATGGACACAGTAATAAGAATATTTACAGACTGATTTTGTCCTAGAATATCTTGTTTGTCTATGTTTTTATTTTTTTAAATCTTTTATTCATATGAAGCTGTTCAGGATTTATTTGACGAATAAATGACATTTACGCAACGGTGCCATGTTCCATCCCTGCTCTGGTAGTTGATATCAGGTATTGGCACATACTAGGGGTGTGATGATATCCAAATCTAATGATATGATATTGTCACGGTATGATCCTCACGGTACGATATCGGGGAAAAGCTCACGATATGGTGGGGAGGCTCACGATTAGGGATGTAACCATATCCAAATCTCACAGTACGATATTTTCACGATATACATCTCATGGTACGATATTTATTGTGATATTTTGTGGAGGCTCAAAACTGTTAATGTGCTACTTTTTCCTCTTAAAATGCCTTGACAAGATTTAATCCAAAGAACTAAGACTTAAAAGTGCTTATAACTGTTATTTCTTCTTGTATTCTGCACTGAAATGGAGCAAAGGATCATGGTCTATGTAGTTCCCTCTGTCTTTTTTTTATCTATTGCTGCAACATAACTCTTAATTTAAGCAATATGGCCCACGATATTATTGCGAGAACTCTGACGATATGATATCACAATATTTCGGTTATTGTTACATCCCTAGCAGACAGATATTTAAAGCCAAAGTATCAATATCGGTACTGGAACTGAAAAAGTCACAGTGATCCACGGTGTCAAGTTTACAGCAGACACAAGCACAGTATGTTTTCTTTAATAAAATCAATCAACTGTTACTGATTTCATTACATATTTTCGTAAGGTTTTTATATAAAATTTGTAATCAAAACTCATATTGTTGCCAGTTTGAAACCGGCTCATTTGGAAGAAGAGGCTGCCCCCAGTACCACCACCATATGCCTAAATGATCTTAAAATCTGGCTAAATCACAGCTTTCCCAAAATAACCCCAAATGTCTGCCAGCAACAAATAATTACTGCGAGAATAAAGCAGATTTTCCAGCAGCATCGCTAAGCAACAAAATGAGTCAGAGGCCCCAAATCAGGTAATGAAATCCTCATATAGTGATGACCAGTACTGGATTATACTGTGATTAGAAAGACCTGAAAATATCTATCCAAAGATGTACAACTGGTAGAGAAGTAGTAATAGTAAAAAGAGTGTCTTGAATTATTTTTTCAACTCATTAAGGGCCTGTCCACACAACAATGTTTTTTGGTTGAAACTATGAAGTTTGTATTCGTTTTGGTCTTTTGTCAACACGGAGTTTTGGGTGGGTGAGAACTGTGTTTTTTGAGAACAGGCTCCAGAGTGGAGAAATCTGAGAACGCCGGCGTCGCATTGTCGTGTGGACGAGCAAACTGCGGCTTTTGGAAAACAATGACGTCACGACCTCGTCATCGCCAGGGTCCTCTGATGCTGCGAAGGTTGTAGCCCTCAAACTGGCCTCCACGGACCACAAAAGCGTTGCCAAAATGGGACAAATGTAGTCTACGGAGCCACTCCTGTCTAACAACACACAGCACGCAGATTACGCACACGGATCAATAACAAAGATTACGCATGAGTAATTAAACTGTTGGATTTTGAGACCAAGTTATTCTAATAATTCTCATCCAAATCTTATGGGTAAAAACGAAAACTTATGTTTAACTTTTGCAAAACAAAACGGCTATATTTGTGGGATACATCTAAAATAGGCTAAATTACTTTAAAGTTTAAAAAACGGTGATGAGATCTGCATTATTAAATATTATTATCATTGTTAACAGCGCCACATACAGGCATATGTATTATATAATTTTCACAAAGTGTTTTGTTGTCGTGTGGACGTGAATATTTATTGATCCGGCACATGTGTGGACGCGAATCTGCAAAATAAAAAATCCAGGAGCGTTGTTGTGTGGACGTAGTCTAAAAGTGGCTGTAAGTTATGCTTTTCTAGCCTACCAAAAGCAGAAACAAAAGGTTACTATTTTATGTCTACATGCCCTTTGAATGAGAGCTGAACAGTGTTGGTGAATTTTAAGATTTTTCTGATAAGCATTGCAATTAGATTAAACAACAATGTAGGTTTTCATAAAAGAATGACTCACATTTTAAACGTGTTCAGAAAAATTGACAAGAAGACTGAAATATGAGTCAGCAAAGGAATACAAGAATCACGTTTCAGAACATGTTTGTACAGATCCAAACTACAGAGTTAGCAGTTTTTTTTTAAAGACAGGAAATTATGGCACTTCAAAAACTGCAGCCTTTGCGATTTGCTAATAGCATCCGGTCAAATTGTGTTTTCAGAGCAATTGCGATTAATCTTTCAACTCACTTTTTACTGTAAGTGTTGGATTTCACACTGAGCCACTCTCACACAAGTCGGAAAAGTAACAGAATACACAGAATAGATACTAGTAGTAGTAGTAGTGGTAATGGTAGTTGTAGTGGTAGTAGTAGTAGTGACAGTAGTAGTGGTAGTGGTAGTAGTAATAGTAGTAGCAGTGGTCATGGTGGTGGTGTAGTAGTAGTAGTAGTAGTGCTAGTGGTAGTAGTGGGTAGTGGTAGTAGTGATAGTAGTGGTGGTAGCAGTAGCAGTAGTGGTAGTAGTAGTGGCAGTGGGAGTAGCAGTAGTAGTGGTAGTAGCAGTAGTAGCGGTAGTATTAGTGGTAGTAGTACTAGTAGTAGTAGTAGTGGTAGTGCTAGTGGTAGTAGTAGTAGTGATAGTAGTGGTAGTAGTAGTAGTAGTAGTAGTAGTAGTAGTAGCAGTAGTGGTAGTAGTGGTAGCAGTAGTAGTAATAGTAGTAGTAGTAGTAGTAGTAGTAGTAGTAGTAGCAGTAGTAGTAGTAGTAGTAGTAGTAGTAGTAGTAGTAGTAGTAGTAGTAGTAGTAGCAGTAGTAGTAGTAGTAGTAGTAGTAGTAGTAGTAGCAGTAGTAGTAGTAGTAGTAGTAGTAGTAGTAGTAGTAGTAGTAGTAGTAGTAGTAGTAGTAGTAGCAGTAGTAGCAGTAGTAGTAGTAGTAGTAGTAGTAGTAGTAGTAGTAGCAGTAGTAGTAGTAGTAGTAGTAGTGGTAGTAGCAGTGGTGGTGGCGGTGGTAGTAGTAGTAGTAAAGGTAGTAGTAGTAGTGGTAACAGTAGTAGCAGTAGTGGTAGTAGCAGTAGCAGTAGTAGTAGTAGTAGTAGTGTAGTGGTGTAGTAGTAGTAACAGTAGTAGTAGTAGTAGTAGTAGTAGTAGTAGTAGTAGTAGTAGTAGTAGTAGTAGTAGTAGTAGTAGTAGTAGTAGTAGTAGTAGTAGTAGTAAATGCTGACCAGTATTTTGCAGAAGGACTTGTACTCTAAGAAGGTGAGGTGCTCTGCGAGTTCACTGGAGTCCAAGTGGTCGAAGAGCAGAGACATCTTCCTCTTTTTGGACACAGACGGGACGCGCTGGGTCACCTGTCGCTTCCACTTGTACGACGGTCTGGAAAACAAGAAACGGAACATTGCGGAGAATTTACATTTTCAAATTGCATTGTATCCAGTGCTGATGCTAAATATGTTAAGCTATCTCCAACTAATATAAAAAATAAAGAAATTACTCAAAAGTTCAAACATCTCATGGTACGATATTTTTTGGGATATTTTGTGAAGGCGAACAAAACTGTGAATATGCTACTTTTTCCTCTTAAAAAGCCTTGACAATACTTAATCCAAAGAACTAAGATTTAAAAGTGTTTATAACAGTTATTCCTTCATGTAGTCTGCCCTGAAATGGAGCAAAGGATCATGGTCTATGTAGTTCCGCCTGTTTTTTTTTTTTTTTTTTTTAAGCTATTGCTGCACCATAACTTTTAATTTAAGCAAAGACACTTGTAATTTGAGATATTGTGATGGTCCACGATATTATTATGAGAACTTTGATGATACGATATCAAGATATTTTGGTTATTGTTACATTATACATACAAACTAATAAAACAGTGGAGTGTTTTCAGCTATCCACATGCTAATAGCTTGTTTTGCTAACTGGTACTCATAGTGCTCTCTGGGGCCTCCTGGAGGACCTCAAAGGTACTGCAGGGAAGACTCCATGACATCAGTGTATATATAACATGATACTGATTTTATTGAAACTGGAAGTAAAGTTACATTTACCGAAGTAACTTTTTGTTTGTTTTTTAATTGTACTTTTCATCTCACTTTCCTAGCAGCATACTTTCACTTCTGCTTAGGTAATACTTTTGAGTAAGTAACAGTACTCTTACTTGAGTAAAAAGTTCTTCTTCCCGCTGTGAGTGCGTCTACACATGACAAAATCTTTATGTCGACAATATTAAATGATTAGGACGTTTGTGTTTCTTGTAGTGCGCCAGTCCGTGTGTCATTCGTTCCTTTGTTTTTCGATATAAAACCAAAAATAAGAAAATGAAAAAACAACTATTTTCCTCATTATTTGTGAATGAAAAAATGGATAATGATTTTTTTTTTTGTTTGTGTGTTTTTTTTCAGTTTTAGATTTTGTGTTTAAATGAATAATGGAAAAAATGGATAACGACCGTTTCCCGACTTAAACTGCGATGCCGGACTTTTGTGCCGTATATGGACTGAACCAGGACTGATCCCAGGACTAAACCGGTCTCAGTCCTAGTCTGGTCCACGTCTCAGTCCTGGTCTGAGTCCTGATCACCCAACAGTCTACACTAAGTACTGATTTAGTCCTGGTTTAGTCCTGGTTTAGTCCTGGTTTAGTCCTGGTTTAGTCCTGGTTTAGTCCAGGTTTAGTCCTGGTTTGGTCCTGGTTTAGACCTGGCTTAGTCCTGGTTTAGTCCTGGTTTAGATCTGGTTTAGTCCTGATTTAGTCCTTGTTCAGTCCTGGTTCAGTCCGTATGCAGTGCAAAAATCCAGAATCACAGTTTAAGGTTTGGAAAAACAAACACAAAAAACACAAAAAACACAAAATCGAAAACTGATAAAACAAATCGTTATACTTTTTTAAAATTTTGGTTTTGTAGACAAATAATAAAGAAAATAGTTGTTTTTTTGTTTTCTTATTTTTAGTTTTATTTTGAAAAAAGAATGAACAAATGATACACAGATTTGCGCCTTCAGATATGATTTTGTTTTTCTCATTGTTGTGTCTTTCCTTTGAAAATACCAGATTTTATGCTTTATTTACAGTTTTGTCCTTCAAATTACATTCACTTAAAATGATAAATCAGATGTTTTATTCTCTTACTTGAGTAGTACTTTACACAAATACTTTTTTACTCGTATTTGAGTAATTTCATGGACCACTACTTTGTACTTATGCTTGAGTATTATGTTGAAGTAACATGACTTGAGAACAATGTTTGGTTACTCTCCCCACTTCTGTATGTGTCAGTAAAGTCTGCAGTCAACCTCGGCATTTAAGCAGGCTGATCTCTGTCTATACACGTGTGTTTGTAAAGAGCTTATGGCATTTAAAGTGGCAGTACCAGTTTTGTTAGTTTTATGTAGTTGAACAAATAAGGAAATGAGTCAACTCTTGCAAGTATTGTATTCAGAATCTCCTATTGTGTCTAAAACATCAGTATAATGTCAGTGTGGTCAGGCTACAAGATTAATTCAGGAATCAAAATCGTAATTTGAATGGGCACATTTAGCAAACCACAAAAGCTGTTTGTTAAATTCTTCTGCAAATGATAAAATGTTCTGTTATTCTGCATAAAAAACTGCAAACACTGTAGTTTAGACTTGTACCAACATGTTCTGAAATGTGATTCTCGTGTTAATTTGTTCACATTTCAGTCTTTTGTCAAATCTTCTGAACATGTTAAGAGTGTGAAGATTGAACAGAATTATATTATTACAAAGACAGTATTACACCAAATGGATTATTGTGAGCTTTAAAGGGACAGTTCGGAATTTTGGACACAGGACCTCATTTCCTAGGCCCCATCCACACTAGTACGTATTCGAGTTGTTTTCGTTGCGGATGCAGTGTTCGTCCACACTAATCTGCTCCAGAGACGGAACGATGGTGCCGCCAGCTCTCACGAATTCATCTGAGTACACATCTGATCCGGCACTGTGTGGATGCCTGAAAACACTGATACGCTGATGTAGGTCTATGCACCATGAAGTAATTCACCACCAAAACACTAAGAGGCTACAATATATGTCCATTCAAATATATGGTCTGTGTTTACGACCTGCAGACATATAATCTCTGAAAAGTTTCATATGAACAATCTCCAATACGAAAGAAACACAGAACAGACTCACCACCAGCAGAACACCCCTCTGTCACATAAAGAACACTCATATTCCACTGAGTCGTGTCCTTTAGTCCGACAGAAGCTGAACTGCAAGAGCGCACAAGTTGTTTTTTGAGCTCTGTGTTTATACAAATTAGCCATGTGGTTTTAAGTTTTGTTTCTGTAAAATGTAAACAAATATGCTCAAAACTGTGTGGATAGGGAAGGCTTGTGGACACAGAAACAACGTGTCTGGATGCAGATCGTTTCCAATACGGTGATTTGTTTCAGTGTAAACATAACCCTAGTGAGACAGAGTGTTGGAGACGTGTGGAGACACTTTTTAAAATATTCTAACTAGGAAATGAGGCCCTATGTCCAAAATTCTGAACTGTCCCTTTAAACCTTATTATACTGTTGTTATCTCATCACAAACATGCTCGGTGTTGTGTTTTGTTTCATTCACACGTTTGAGAAACTCTTATTATTAGTGTGTCTATATCTCCAAAGCTAAAAATGCTCTTTTCCATCTTGTGATGTCATGCAGTGGTAGTTTTCAAGTTACCTTTTTACCTTTACCCATACACTACCAGTCAAAATTTTTAGAACACCACACTTTTCCCAGTTTTTTACTCTTTACTGTTGACCAAAACGTATTCTAGACTTTTGATTCATGAAAGTGTCCACCTTTGGCAGATATAACAGCTGAACACACTCGTGGCTCGTTCTTTCTACAGTAGAAATCAAATATTCTTCAGAAAGTTCTTCCCAAGTCTGTTGCAGTAGTTTCCATAAATGTGTGGCACTTGTAGGTTGCTTCACTCTTCTGTCCAGTTCATCCCAAACCAGCTCGATGGGGTTTAAGTCTGGACACTGTGCTGGACACTCCCTGTTTTCAAGCTTTACCATCTTGTTCTTTTTTCCTGAGGTAGTTTTGGCAGAGCTTGGATTTGTGTTTTGTGTCTTTTATAGTGTTTTAACCTCTGGCTGTTCAGTTCTTACCTTTGTACCATTTCAAGGTCTTCATTGGACTTGCATGACTTGAATTGCAATAAATAACTGGGAAAATGAAGGTGTTCTAAAACTTTTGATAGTGTATTTCAGTAGAGATGTGCAATTCCAGGTCTGAAATCATCCAAATGATCCCAGAGAAGGTCTAAAAAAACAGAGGAGCACTTCCTGTTTTACCACATGTCAAGGCAGAATAGAGTGTTTTCTGTTTGAGAGAAGAAAACACATCCTAAATATGCAGGATTTGTGTGTTAAACATGTGTGAATGAAACAAAACACAACTCCAGGTATGTCTTTTGATGAGGAAACAACATTATAACATAGATCTGAAAATACTGAAATATACTGGTCCTTTAACCATAAATCGCAAATCGAGTCACAGTGTATGTCAGAAAAAAATGTTCTCAAAGTGCGCTCCGTTTGACTCACACGCTGTCTATGTCGATGAGTTTGCTGTTGCTCTCCTCTCCCTCCGTGCTCAGCAGCTCCTTGAACTCTTTCATCTGCTCGGCCAGCTCCGGGTTCAGATTGAACTCAGCGGGGAACTCCGAGATCCAATACCTGCTCCAGCCGCAGACAGGAGCGACCAGACCAGGAGGGACAAAGAGGGACAAACGGGGGGACAGGTGAGGTGAGACCAGGCAGGTACATTTGAGAGGTAAAAGTACAAAAGCGACATCAAATAAGATACTTTCATCTCAGGATTGGGTCTTATTAGAGATAAACCAATATATCGTGCCAATATTTGGACTATTTAGTTTTGATAATAGTTTTAATATTGATTCTAGAGATCGACAGATATATCAATTATCTATGTCTTAAATCTCCAGCATAAGCCGATATTTGGTTTTCGGTCTGGTGCCTAAAAAATACACACAAAGCTTTGGGGGAACAGCTTGGGGAGAGTTTGTAGTAAATTTAAGGTACATCATTTGTGGAAAATAAACATAATTGGTCCTACACATCAGCCCAAAAATATCAGCAGAGCTTATTGGCCATCGGTTGCTCTATAGTCTTAGCAATAGATATCAGCATAGGTCATGAAAAAACACACATCAGTCGATCTCTGGTTGTAAAGGAGAGGTTCCCTATCACAAAACTGGTTAAAATAGTAAAAGAAAACCATGAACCCTGTTTGATGGTGTTGCAGTTGCTCAGTGATTAAAACATACATAGGCCAATGTCAACATAAACTTTTTGGGTTCCTTTAGACAATACAGTGAAGTGTATTTACCTTAATCCATATATCAACGTTCATTCGTGTTTCAAAATAAAACCAAAAATAAGAAAGTTGTAAAATAAGAAGATTTGTGTTTAAATGATTAATGGAAAAAATGGATAACGGCTGTTTCCCATGTCCGTGACTGAAACTGCGATGCCGGACTTTTGCGGATTTTTGCGGACTGATCCCAGGAGTGAACTAGGACTAAAACAGGACTAAACCTGGTCTAAACCTGGTCTAAATCAGGTCTAAACAAGGACTTAAACAGGTCTAAATCTGGTCTAAACCAGGAGTAATCATGGACTTGAGAGAGAGAGAGAGAGAGATGGGACCCTGAGCCCGTTATTCATTTTTTGATGATTCATTCAAACACAAAATCGAAAACTGAAAAAAACTAATCGTTATTCATTTTTTCATTTTGGTTTTGGAGACAAATAATGAAGAAAATAGTTGCCAGTTTCCTATTTTTGATTTTATTTTGAAAAATGAATGAACAAAACATACACCGATTTTACCTTGTTGCTATGTTTGGGCTGCTGCTGCATCTTCAGATCTGTCCCTGTTTGTGGTGACGTGACGTATATCAGCTGTTGTTATTTCCTGTAGATGTGGTCAGTCTGATGGACCTGGCAGGTTGCTCCGACTGACCATGCCTCTTGTCGCCCGGTGTTCTCTGGAGGCCTCGTTTCCTGATTTTGATGTCCTCCCTGACCCAGCGTTTGAACTTGTTGTTTTCCGATGCAATGACCCGAGCCCTGTCCCAATCCTGAATGTGGTTATTTCTTTTACAGTGGTCTGATTTCTTTTCTTTTTGTGTTCTGGTGAGTCTGCCTGATGTTTCTTTTTTTGCAATTCCTTTTGTTGTTCCTTTTTCAGATGTGAAATGAATTGCAGCAGCAGCCCAAACATGTCAACAAGGTAAATACACTTTACAGTCAAAAAGAACCTGAGAAGTTAAAGTAGGTCAACAGTTCGATGTCCATGAGCAAGACACTTCACCTCTTGCCTATATTGTACATACTGAATACAGTGTGTGTGTGAGTGAGTGATTGGCGGCCTTGCTTCTGCCAATCTAACCCGGGAGAGCTGTGGGTACAATAGTATTTCACCACACCCGTGTACAGATGGAGTGAACAATAACAATGCTTTGTCAGATTGTCAGTCTTATAAAAGGCAATACAAATGTGAGGGATTATTTTTTATATGAACAATAGTTGAAAGAATAATTGCGGCATTTGCTGAGTAGAATAAAAATGTTTTGTTTTTCTTTTTTGGTTGTGTGTATTTCCACAAACCTGACTCTCGCGTGGCCTCCATGAAAATCTTGTTGTTTCTTTAGCTATAATATTCTACAGTATGACATAAAACTTGTCCATGTCTGCGGAGAATGTCCTGAAGTATGGTTTTAACTTATATTTGTATTGAATGGATCACGCAGTTGACATGAGCATTATATTTTTAAATATGCTGTTTATTTGTAGTTTGAAAAAGCAGTGGCGGAGTCAGCAATTTGGGGGCCTTAGGTGAACTTGAGTTTGGGGCCCTCAGTATAATGCACTGTTTTGGTTTGCTTTTATATATTTATTTATCTGTTTTTCCCCACAGTTCATAAGACACGCACATCTTTATTTGAATTAGGGTGGATTGGAAACTTGTCTTATTAATTGGATCGCCTTCTAGATAACCAGAACTGAAAGCAGTTTAATTTTTTTGCTAGTATAATTACATTTTTCTTTACATCCATTACATTTGATTATGCTCTGATTATGTTGGGTCAAGCTGACGAATCCATTCTAACATGAAAGGGGGGCAACACTTTGACAGTTAAAATAGATTTGACAGTCAGATACTATTTTGATGGTGTTTAAAAGCAATAAACAAATTCTTGTTTGTAAAGTAATAATAAAGTAGTAACTCATTTAATGTCATACTGAGAAAAAAAATCTAATTGTTCTGAGGCCGCTGCCATAAGTGACACTGAGGGCAATAGGTTGGGGGCCCCTTCAGGTTCAGGGGGCCCTAAGCGGCCGCCTGCTGTTGCCTAATGGTAGCGCCGCCTCTGTGAAAAAGTATTGCAGTAAAAAGTCCAAGTTTATTTACAGACAAAATATCAAAGTAAAATCATCAGGATCATGTAGCGCAGGTTTGTAGTTGGAGAGAGAAGGGTGACAATTTTCTTTCTTTTTTTATGTAAAGAGAATTGGAGTCAGTGGAGCCGGAAGCGTAGCCTGATTCACCAGCCAGTTTTCTCAAAGTGAAACCTCGCAGCATTAAGATTCGTTCACTCGACGGTAGGCTGGTACTTTTTTATTTAACCAAATGCTGCTATTTAATGGTGACTTATGTAATGTGCTGCTAATGAGGTTAACTGGTATATTAAGCTTTTCCCAAATCCTGTAGGATAAAGGGCAAAAACTTCTTTCCCGTTGATAAAATTCACCAAACATTCTCTTTGTTCTGGCTTTAAATCTTCAATCTCAGGAATCGTTGCCAACACAGAATGTATGGCTTCATCTACATCAGGCATGTCCAAACTAAATATTCTTGGCCCTCAGGCTTCCAGGTGAATTGTCCCAAATAACCTTGCATCAATTATAAATGAACTTTTTCCTGCAAATATTTTGAAAATCTACCTTGACAAAGCTAATATTTAACATTTAGTGTGTGGTTTTAAGGATCTTAGCATGAATAAAGACTGATGGAACATTCTAACGTGTTAAACATGCAGATATTTCAATTATTCACTGTATTGAGCGCCAGTCTACGGCCCTCGATCAGCCCTCTGCTTCATCTGTGTTTAGATATGTGGCCCTTGATGAAAAAAGTTTGGACACCCCTCGTCTACATCCATCTTGACGCTTTGTTTACTGTTGTGCTGTACCACAAAAGGGACCCAGACAGGCGCTTGAGTTTGACGTCATGGCTTCACAGATCTTCGCTGATTGACCGGTGCGCGGTCTTCAACTACCGGGGTTCTTCCAAACCATCTAGTGTATTCCAATTCCTGACCTAGTTGCTGGAGAGAAATGAAATTGAGCACTAGGTGGCGCCAGCCTGGCTACAGAAGTGCCCGCATGTTCACTTCCTATTTGGAACACGGGTTATCCATTTCTATATACAATCTATGGTTTTGTTAGAGATTGCATTCAATATGTACAAAAAGCAGAGAGTCTTACTTGAGAAGGTGAACGATTCTGGTGCGGCGCTCAGCAGTGCAGCTCTCATCTTGAGACCTGATCCTCCAGTCAAGGACGCTGTATGGTTATACATATTCTTTTGTTTGACATTTCACGTTGTTGTTCTCTTTTCAATAGTCGCTACAGCAAATAAACATGCCCCCATCTTCGACTATATGCTCTTTTATCAAGCCAGCTCACGTCATGTCCTTTTTCACAATAAACATACATTTTCTCTTGGCTGCTTTTGTGGTTGGTCGTTCAAAGTGATTAAATCGGTACGTGGCTATCATTTAGTTTACGAAATGTACTTTTGTTTTGGGGTTATTTGAAGTGATCCTTTGTAGCTGAACTCGTCAACATTTCCTGGGGGTGTGGTGCTAACTGTAGGCATGCTCTGTCTGAGGCTTTGTTACACTTTAATCTGAGCTTTACTTTAACACAATCTGACCTTAAAGAACTGACTAAGCTGGAACTGCAACGGCTGATTTTGAGCTGTTAAACGAGTCCCTCTCACGTAATAGTAAAGTTGCAAACTAGCTAGTGTTGGTCAAGAGTTTTTCAGTTCATCACTCTCACATTTTTTGTTGAAAATCAAACACCTAAACAGGACCGTGAACGCTTGGATTGATCACAGGCTCCTGTTAACCCTTCCAGACCTAAAGGCAATTTTAGTAAAATTTTCCTCACCTGGATTTTTTTTTCTTAATTTTGCTATAAAAACTCTCACTTTTACCCCCTAATGAAGTGTTATACATCTTTTTTTTTTTTTCTTCAGTACAACCTGTTATTTCACAATCTGCATGTTGTAGCTGTGTCATATGGCTGTAATAAAAGCTATAGAACCATAAATAAATAAATACATAAAAATTAAATTAAATTAAATTCAGACTCTAAAATAAAATTCTGACTCTTTCATGCAACAACTTTTTGGACATTTATTTATTTATTTATTTTTAATATAGGGCCTTAGCTACAAAAGTGCAAAATATCAGGTCTGTAAATAAACTAAAAAATATCCTTATTGCTTCAAAACAAAAACAAAAAAAAGTGCAATTACCCCATGACTTTCCTGGTGTCAGTCATGGAAACAGTTCGTGTCAGGTCCAGAACACAGAGCCACATCACTTCCTGCATTTCCATGGTGTTTATTACATTTGGATTTGTACATTTTGAGTGAAATAAACTTTCAAATAAAAAATAGAAATGGATAAGCAATTACGCACAGACCAAGGTGTGTAATTTGCCATTTATTTGATGTATAACTGCAGTTAGAGCGGGTTTTTCAATTGTAACGAACACAGACGCTCAGAGCAATTTACCATTTTGATTCACTACACTCTTTGGCAAAGTTTGGGCCAATCAAAATGGATGGAGCGCATGAGTTTGGCGAAAAACAAAGTTCCTACAATGCTGGAAATATGCTCGGAAAGCTGTAGTTTCTCTCTTTTAAGGTTGGAAAGTTAATCATGATTATGTAAAACAAGTCTGCCGTCCAACAAGTCTGGAAGGGTTAAATCCATTTTATATTACCTCTGGTTTTCATACGATCTTAAAATTCACTGATGTGTGCAACGTGTCACCATGGTAACTGCTGTGAACACTCCATCGTAGAGATACATGTAGAACACTCCCAAACGTGATGTCTCTGCTAAGTATACACTGGTTTATTTTGTGTGTTATTGCAAAAGTAGGAAGTATAAATGCAGTGACGATTACCATGCTTGGAATGCACGAATCTGTTTACGTACAAAAGTGGAGCATAAATGAGCCTTGTAAACTTGTAAACAGCAAAAAAAAAATAAAAAGGGAAACCGTTTCAGTCTGTTCATAGAAATAACTGCACTGAGAGCGACTTTTTCAATTGTTACGAACACAGACGCTCAGAGCAGTTTACCATTTTGACTCACTACACTCTTTGGCAAAGTTTGGGCCAATCGAGATGGATGGAGCGCAAGCGATTGCCGAAAAAAAAAGTTCCTATAATGCCAGAAAATGTGCTCCGAAAGCCACAACTATCAACTTTTCCAGAGAAAAAAAGTAAATTTCTATCTTTTATGGTTGGAAAGTTATTCGCGGTTAAGTAAAACACGTCCAAAGGGTTAAATCCGTTTGATATTATTTCTGAAGTTTTCATATGATCTTAACAGAAATGTTGACAGTGTTTGCTAATGTGTGCAGCGTGTCACCATGGTAGCTGCTGTTAACACTCCATCATAGAGATACATGTAGAACACTCCCAAACGTGATGTCTCTACAAAGTATAGTTTATTTTGTGTGTTATTTCAAAAGTAGGAAGTATAAATGCAGTGACGGTTACTACGCTTGGAACATACGGATCTGTTCACGTACAAAAGTGGAGCATACATGAGCCTTTAGACTTTTGTAAACCAGCAAAAAAAATAAAATATTATTGTGAAACCGTTCCAGCCTGTTCATAGCAACAAGTGTTTACACATTACCAGGACAACCATCATCACTTCTGTCTTCCGAGACCCGACTATCTCGCTCTAATCTTTTCCCTTGAGTCCTCCCCTGCACTCCTGCCTGACAAATCTGCGCTACCTCTTCTAACCCGCTCGCTACTCGACACACTCGGCTGTTCCAAAAGGATACTTGAGCACCAGCTTGTTGGCCAGGTCCGTGGACGGGATGTACCACGGATGCATCATGATAAACATCCGGACCAGGGAAGCGTCCTTCAGCGTGCCCTTTTCATCTGCAAAGAAAGACAGTCAATCACTTTTAGAATCACACCTCCTCCTCCTCCTTCTAACTCGTCTTCTGCTCTCCCATTAACACTAATCTATCCTGTACAAAGAGTCCAAGGTGAGCGCATCATTCTTAATCAGAGCTAATGAATGCGAGAATGTTAATAGGTTTCGTTTATGTGTCATCACAACCTTTCAGAATCCCCGTCTAACTATCAGATTATAGATTTGCTGACCTGGTTTAGAGTTAAAGAAGATATATCGTGCTTGTGTCTGCAATAGTTACGCTTTATGACACCCGCACAGACACATTTTAAATTATAATATTCATTTAAAATGACTCAACACTCACTTTTGTGTTAGAAAACTGTGGTACCCTAGCCTGATTCATCAGCTGGTTTCACTTCGTAGAAACTGTCTGACCTCGAAGCATTAGAATTCATTCGCTTGACGGTAGGCGGGTACTTTTTTTCATTTACCCAAGCGCTGCTATTTGGTCGAGAACTAACTAACTAACTGGTATATTAATCTTTTCCCAAATCCCGTAGGAAGAAGGACAATAACGTCTTTCAACCTGGATAAAATTCACCAAACATTCTCTTTGTTCTGGTTTTAAATCCTCGATCTCGGGAATAGTTGCCAACACAGAATGTATGACTCTTCGCTGTTTGGCTGGTGTCTGCACTTCGCACTTCTGGGATTCTTGCAAACCGTCTAGTGTATTCTGATTCATGACCTAGTCCCTGGAGAGAAATGAAATTGAGCAGAGGGACTAGGTGGCGCCAGCTTGGCTCGTGGTGCCCAGTCTACCAAAATGACTACGCCATGCTGCTAAATCCTATGTGAAGAAAATAAAACTGGAGAATGAAGAAAAACAGATAGGATTGCATGTTTTCCGGTGGCTGTAAAAATGGGAGCTGATTGGCAATATTGCGTCATAGAAATAAACACTTAAACATTATTGCTCAAACATGCACAAATCACTCCAAATATAACTTTGATTGGGTAAATAAAAATGGGAAAGAACTATAACATGGTTTAAAGCTCTGAAAAGTTGATTTTACATAATACTGCAGAACACCTTAACATCATTTGATCAAAAATTTGTTAATGTCATTTTGTTTGTATTTCAGACCTCCTTTATTACGTGAATAAACATCGTGAAAAATATTGAGCTCAAAATTGACCCTTTGATCCTTATTTGTCAGTTTCTGTGCTCTGCCTTTATATCATAACTAAAAAATTAGGAGTCGTACAAAGTCAAAAGGCAGTAACAGTGTATATTTTGTTTGTGATTTAGTTCATGAATATATTTTCTTTTAAAATCCAACCTCTCGCCTCCTTCTTTTTGTTGCGGCCTTGGCACAGAGTCTTAACACATTAAATAAATATTACTTTGCATTCAATTAAACTTAAATTATCTTTAATGTGAAAATATTTTGTGCATTTATTCATACTGTACACACAATACTGTAAAGTCACTTGTGTCAAACTGTTTAACTGTGTAAGTGTCGCCGCACGATCCTGATCAGCACTAAACAGGAAATCCAAAGCTCTTCTGTATCATTTCAAACAAAGTCCATGATGACTCGACCTTGGTGAGGTGTTTTTATTATAATGGATGGAATTCTGGGGAAAATCAAGCAAATAATAATGATCATGTCAGTTTCTGCCTTTTGTCTTTGCACGACTCCTTATTTTTGTCTCATGATGAAAAGGAACTGATAAATAAGAGTCAAAGCTCAATTTTAAGAATTTTTCACATACAAATATTTCTTCATTATAGCAAGTAATTGTCAAAATTTTGGGAGCCCTGCCTATTATACTTTTGTCTCATCAAAACAGAAACTTTGAAGTCATTTATCTCAGTTTCACAGTCTGGAGAGTTAAGCTCTTTTGTCTTTGTAGGGTAGAATGGGTCTGCTTTAATATCTCTATAATTACTGGGCCTATCTGCGTGAAGTAAAAATGGGCACAAAGGTCATCTTCTTCGATAAAGAACGAATAAACAAAGTTTTATTTTTCCTTCTTCAAAGATGTGACTGTTGTCAGCTGAAAGAACTTGAGGCCATAAAATTAATAAGTTAGTGGAGCCAATTCCCAATTTCAAAAACCCCTGCTGAACTCAATCTAATGAAGACTGTGTTAATCATAATGAATCTAAGAATGCTAAGAGGTTTTGTTCACATTCAATTTGAAGATGTAATAATTTCGAGGGCAAAGGCCTATGCAACTCAGTGGGAGCTTTTCTAGTTCAAAAGAAATATCAAAAACTTTATCATTATTTGTTAGAGATTGGGTCCACTAACCTGCGATATTAATCTCGTGCCTTAAAGTCTGGCAACACAAACAACAATCACGCTTTATGGTTTGAAAAATGGCACCGCTTTCTGAGGCTATTGTGAAAAAATGATTTGAACTTTTGTAAATTTGTTCTGGCAGAGAAGATGTTGAGCTTAGCACCAGTTTCTGTTTCATACGTATTCACCTTTATTATTTGGGTGGTAATATTTTTTTTTATGGGTCTGCTGATCTTGACAGCAAATAAATTTAATGTGGATTGTAAATCATTTTAAAGTCCCCCAGAGAATCCGTGCAGTGTGACATTTTACACAAATAAACCGACTGACTTTATGTCAAATTATAGATGCAAAACATTTACGAAATTCTCCATTCACAGGGAAAAAAACAAAACCAATATCTAAGAAAGTTAAAATGACTTAAATTAAGAACATTTTACTTTATTTGAGTCGATTCAACTTGACAAGTAAAATTATCTACCAATGGAATAAGTGTGTTTATTCTTAACTCAAGCAACATTTGATTCATTTTCTTAATTTAAGTGCAAAAAGTTGATTTTTCTTATTTTAAGTGTAGCAAGATTTTCATTTTTTTATATTTTAAGAACAAAAAGTCTTGTTCCGATGGCAGATCATTTTATTTGTCAAGTGAAATTTACTCAAATCATGATCAAACTTTCTTATTTCAAGTCATCTTAACTTGACTAGATTTAGTTTTTTTGCAGTGTTGACATGAACAGGATTCCCGTTTAACCGGAAGTGCCACACGGTTTTGAAGCATTTAGAGACAAAAGTGGGCGGGGCGGAAAAAGGTGGATAGGCCTGGTCATTACAGATATATTAACTATAACACATGTCATCAGATCTATTGTCTGACTGTTAAACCTTCAATTTCCAGCATAGAATTCTGACCTGTCCTCCAGCTTAATCTTAAACTACAGGGATTTAAGAATGTTGTGATGTCTCATGAACCAAACCTATGGGATTGTGAAGCGATTATGTCACTTCTGGGTGCAACCGGCAACTTCACAGCTAATTTCTGACTTTGTTTTTCATCAAACAAGAGGCAACTGCCGTGATTTCTGGATTATTGAGTGCACCTAAATATAAGCCACATCAAATAACTTTTAAAAGAAAAATAATTATACGTATGTAGGCCACACCTTTCTATAAGCTACAGGTGCAGCATTGGCAGTGATGCGGTCACTGTATTGAACCGTTGTTTATTTATTTTACCTTTATTTTACCAGGCAAAACATTAAGAACAAATTCTTATTTACAATGTTGGCCTGGGTTGTGGTGAAAAGGGAGCAGAGTCGAAAGGCAAAGCTCTCAATTTACCGGTCAGTCTATGTTCCTCCCCTCACCTATGGTCATGAGATCGGGGTAATGGCTGAAAGGACACGATCACAGATACAAGCGGTCAAAATGAGTTTCCCCCGCAGGGTGGCTGGGAGCTTCCTTACAGAGAGAGGATGAGAAGCTCAGTCACACGGGAGGAGCTCGGAGTAGAGCCGCTGCTCCTCCACGTCAAGAAGAGCAGCTGAGTTGGCTCGGGCATCTGTTCTGGATGCCTCCTGGATGCTTCCCTGGGGAGGTGTTCCGGCATGTCCCACCGGGAGAAGGCCCCGGGGAAGACCCAGGACACGCTGGAGGGAAATGTCTCTCTGCTGGACTGGCAACACCTTGGGATCCCCTGGAAGAGCTGGAGGAAGTGTCCAGTTTGGGAGTCCCTGCTTAGACTACTTCCCCGTGACCCAACACCCAGAAAAGCAGAAGTGATGGATGGATGGTGTCTACGTCTTCAAGAATGTTTTCAAGTTCAGGCCGTCTGCTTTTATCACCTCTGAAAGCTTTTGTCGTCTTTTTGCATTGAGTCAGTTCGTCACGCTGCCGTCGCCAAAATCGCACCATCGACTCACTGATGCCGAGCTCACGTGCAGCAGCTCTGTTTACTAGTTCGACAGCCAACATCAATCGCCGTTAACTTAAAAGCTGCATCATGTGTAGTTCTTCGTGTGTTTTCCATGAGGAGGATGTGTGTATGAAGCACAAGATAACTGCTCCTAACACAACCAAACAAGCATCTTCCTCGGCGCATCACCCTATCTCTCCCCACGCTCTACTAGGCATGTCTTGTGCAGAAAGAGTCACTGTCCTGTCTGTATCATGTCTGTGTCTTGTAGGATTTCAGCAGATTTCAGGCTCTCCTTAACACAAATTGGAAGCATGTCCTTTTTTTTTTCAATCAGCTGACATGCCTTGGACCCAGAAGTGGCATCACACCTTCATAACCCCATTATGAAACTATGGACTTACCGAACGCTTGGATGCACGCTTCGACCAGCTCGTCGACGGTGGCCGACTGCTCCGACAGAATGGACTCCATCTTGGTGACTAGCTGCTCTTGGTTGGTTTATACAGCAGACCAATCTATCCTAAAACAGAACAGAAACAAACAATGCAGTCAAGTAATGAAGTCGAATGTTTTGAATAGTTGTGAGGTCAGTTGAACCTAGTTTTACCGATAGGGGAGGCGAAAATGATCCAGTCCTGTTTTAATTTGGTCGGCTGTCTATCACTGTCAAGATGACGGGCAAAGTCCAATTAAAAGTAGAGAAAAGTTTGCATTCTTTTTCAATAAATGCAATGATATTTCAACATTTACTCAGCTAACCATGCTTGAAAGTTTTTCGTCTTATTCAAGAAATGTCAATGAAGCAAACTACTGCAGGTTCTAGCTTTGTGTTCAGTTTTAAAGATGCCCTATGTGACATTTCTTCTCTTTATATTTTTTTACGATGGAGAACCTACTGCTTGTCTCCATGGAGATGTTATTGCTTTGCCTACTTGTTTTTATCTTCCTCGAGATAAGTAGGTAGCCCCACCAGATCAAGTTACAGGTCAGATCTGTGCAGACGTGACCATTGACCACACAGAAAGAATGCATTTTAGGTGTTTTAAGGTGTGTTTTGAGTAATAAAAATACAATTGAATAAAGAATGAAAAACAATAAAATGGGAAAACAGTTTGCTTTTATTTCCTTTGTTCATTTTAGTGCTAAACAAAAAAAGATTTCGACCTCTATTTCCAATCTAGTCTTGGTGCCTATTTCAATTTTGATATTTTATTCTCTCTGATTTATTTGTCCCTAAGTTCTGCTGCTTAGTGTGAATTCAGTGTCAGTGAACTGAACAAAGAAGAGTTTATCATCTTGCTGCTTCATATTTGTCATCACGGAGTTCAAAAATTACTTTCTAAGAAGCAAAAGTAAATGTTTCACTATAAAAGAAGATGACATGTTTGTCTACTATTACAGCTCTTTCCAGCTCTGCATCAGTAACCAATTCTTTGTGTCTTAGGTTGTGTTTTTCACCACGTCTTCGAATACCCATTTCTGAGCACATCTTAATTCCATTTTGCTTCAGTGTGGCAGAAATTTCCACATATATGTTGTCTGCTCCGAACAAACCCTAGATGCATTCAGCATGGATCTCGGCAGACATGGCCTATAATATATATATCCACTGATACAGACTGATGCATCTGTTTTTTATTGTTGTTGTTGTTGTTGTTTGGCACTAAAACAGGATAATGAAATAAACTGTTTTCCTATTTTATTGTTTTTCATTCTTCATTGAAATCCAAAAGAACAACATTACAGGCAAAAGAAATAATATCTCGAGACAAAGCAGGTGGTGGATAACCTGATTCATCAGCCGGTTTCACTTTGTAGAAACCATCTGACCTCTCAGCATTAGAATTTGTTCGCTCAACTGTAGGCGGGTTTTTTTTTTTTCATTTAACCAATCGCTGCTATTTGGTCGTGAGACTTTAAAGTTTTCCCAAATCCCGTAGGAAGAAGGGAGATAACGTCTTTCCCCTTGATAAAATTCACCAAACATTCTCTTTGTTCCGGCTTTAAATCCTCGATCTCGGGAATCGTTGCCAACACAGAATGTATGGCTCTTCGCTGATTGGCTGGTGCCCGAATTCGCACTTCCGGGGTTTTTGTAAACCGTCTAGTGTATTCCAATTGCTGACCTTGTCGCTGCAGAGAAATGAAATTGAGCGGCCTGGTAAGGTGGTGGACCATCCAACACAAAAGTTAAGCTACATATAAGACTTTTACCACAAATACGGCATTGACGGGAGAGAGTACAGTTGAGTTTGAATTTGAGATTATAAGAATCATCCAAGTTTATATTTTACTGTTGTTTACTGAATAGTCTTTACGTAGAAATATGCAGCCAACATTATGCTATTATATATTTGACATCTTGGTTTCTAATTTGCTTCATTTCGAACACTCCAAAGAATGAAATCTGAGAAACAGCACTAATGAGAACTGTGGTCTGTATTTCTTTATTGGCAGTTCTTGACAACAAACCCCACACAGAGCGAGCTGTTACTGTTGCGCTGAATGCCCCAGAATGGGCTGGTGGTGTAGTGAAAGGATTGCGTGTTATTTATTGTGGGTTGACACGGTGACGGTTGCAGCTAAGAGGTGGGAGGACGCGTTCAATTATAGGCTTCACAGGCATTCTGAGACACATTTAGAGGAAAACAAGAGCGGCCCAGACAAAAGAGAAGGATCATTCACGGACAGAGCGCTACGCCGAACAAACGAGTCGGAGATGTTGTGGTAATTAGCGCAGTAAAAACAGGAAGCTAACAGGGTCGGATGGGATTTTTTTTTACCCTAGTTAGTACAGGATTACTTTGGTTCTACAGCATTATGTCCAAGGAGAAGGCAGGATTAACCAGCAATCGAAGGTTTGAAACTTATTAGTAAGTCTATGGAGTAAGAAAGCTTTCAGAAATATTCATTTGCATAGGATAGAAGTCCGTGCAAATTTGTCTGTAGTTGAGCATAAAGTAAACATTCGTAAACTCTTGAATGAGTCCAGTCGTTCATAAAATGTGCCATGTGTATTTTATTCATCAGAATACAAACAAAAAAGTTACGACATCAAGAATTACAATCACGAAATGAAAATTTACCATTACGAATACAAATTTTATAGACTCGACTCTCAAAAATATGTCATCATTTCACAGGCAGAAGGAACATCGATCGAGATGCCGGACTTTTGTGCCGCATACGGACTGAACCAGGATTGAACCAGCTCTAAATCAGGACTAAACCAAGACTAATCTTGGATTTGAAAGAGAGGAGAACACAGAGTCCATGGAGCAAGGTGTCCACAAAGCGCAATTGGGTGTGATGGTTTAGTCCTGTTTTATTCATAGTTCAGTCCCAGTTTAGTCCTCCTGGTTCAGTCCTGGGATCAGTCCTGGTTTAATCCTGGTTTAGTCCTGGTTCGGGCTGTATGCGACGCAAAAATCCAGCATCTCATTCAGTGTTTCGTCTGCTCAATAAAAAATGCTACAACCACTACGACTACAGCCAAATATGCCGGATTTCTATCCTACACACAAATATTTCTTCCCCACATGTCCATAAAACGCGATCAAAAACAATGTAAACAAAAGAGCCATGGAACAGGACCTGGGTCTATAGTGAAAATACTTTTTAAGAATGTCAACTTTGGTATTTCGCATCTTAAAATCTGCACTGGTTTAACATTAGGCTATAAGTATGAGGTATGGAGACACAATCCTGACCTCTGTGTTGGCTGTGATTAATCTTTGAGAATAACCGTTTGCAAACCCTTGACCCTGAAAAACATTATTAACAATCGACTATATAGGCCAACAGAAATACATCAAAAGCAAATTATGTTTTTTTTTCTGTCTTTAATGTTCATCAGCATGGCATTAAACCTGACTCGTGAATATGAATGTATGTTTTTCAAGGTATTTGTGAGCAATAAAAACACCTGTACTAAAATAAATGCAATATATAGTCTGATCATGACGTAACAATCAGGGAAATATTTAAACTAAGTGATTTTCGAGGCTCAGAACAAAACGATCTTGTGAACTTAATTAATAAAACAAGAAAGAATTAAAGGACAACTCAAGGTAAGTTTTTGATGAAGGAACAAGAACGTAATGTGGTTAAAGCCTCAAAAACATCACATTTTTTGTGTGTGCTTTAAAAATGTTTGTAGATTGCGTCTTTTTACAAATGAAATCAAGATGCATTTTGTAGTTTGGAGTAACAACTCTTCAAATACGGATGGCTGCAGACTGACTGACCTTCGCTGCATAGGCCCAGTTTCCACATCCAACCCGAAATGACCATAATGAGCTGTTCAAAATCTTTACAAAAAGTGGCACTATTCGGTGAAATTGAGAAAGCCTACACAACAGAAGCCATTATGAGCCCAGACAGCCCGTATCAATGGACTTCTCAGAGTATGAAAAAGACCAGTCATTCTGTTCACTTGCGCAATCTTGTTGTTCTGAACATGGAGTACTTCAAAGGCGCTGGACCTGATTTTTACTGCTTAAAAAAAAACATGAAAAACACAACTAGTACATTTTAAAAGGTTCGCAATGCTCCAAAGTTATTCCTCACTTATCTCAGTTTGCATTTTAAGCATCTTTATTATTCACAGTGAAGATCATAAGCAAGCAACGTGTTAACTAGGGATGTAACGATATCCAAATCTCTCGATACGATATTATCACGATATGCATCTCACGGTACGACATTTATCGTAATATTTTGGATCAGCTAATATAACTGTAGATAAGACACTGTTTTGCTTTTAAAATACCTTGACAAGATTTTGTTGTGATTTATTTCCGTCATAATCCCATGAATTCAAGTAAAAAAAACTATTTCTGCATGTTGTCTGCGCTGAAATGCATCATGGGATATGTAGTTTCTGATGTTTATAACCTGTTGCTACAATAAAACCATGCATTTAAGCAAAAGAACTTGTAATTCGGTATATTGTGACAGCCCACGATATTATTGTGAGACAAAATTGTGGGTTATTGTTACATCCTTAATGCTAACAGTGTACTTCCTGATGATTAGACAGAGGGAAAAACATACAGTAGTTAGATGTTGACAACGCAGTGGACTTTATTTTGACATCAAGAGCTGCTGAGAATGCTGAATCTGATCTGATCTGATGTAGACTTTTCGTGACATTTCTGACTTTTAGATAATAAAAATGAATCTGGTCAAATTAAAAGAAATACTAATAAATAGAAACACTGACTAAACCAAAATTTTCAGTTCTAACACCAATACTGATTCTTTAAGTACACATGTTGATACACTATACAAGTCGATGCCAGTATGGAGATGCAACACAGATATTTCTATTTTTATCTAACCAAAAACTGACCACAATAAGTTAAGTTGTTGTTAAGATTATTTTCACTTTCATTTTAACACTCTAAGCCTTAGACTTACACAAACGTTATTGATCCACAAGGGAAGTTATTTCACACATCACAATATAATATTATAACAAAGAGCAAAAATATAAATGGTAATAATACATTTTAAATA